TTTTTTTTCACCCCTCGCTTATCATTTTTCTTAACGGACTCCTAATCTCAAAAACTATGCATTGCACTTTGTACAGATTTTGCCTACCTCGTCTATAATTCGCATGTAAATTTATTTTTACTTGCTTTGGTGGGACCCCGACGGGTCTTTAATAAAAATAATTAATTAATTAATTAAGCTTGGAAGTTTTGATGACGGTTTACTTTGCATAGACTTTTTGTTCCAAATTTAAAACGAGACGAGAATGTGGATGGTATGCGCTCCGTCATATTTTTAGGTACTATGCCTTTGAAATTAAGTCATTAATGCTTTACTTGCAAGCGGATTGCCATGAGCTTATGACAAAAAGCATTGAAGCTGAATAACTATTTCTTCTAATTAAGATGACCAACTGAAGCAGGCGAGAGTGCTCCAAAATCATACTTGGTCCATGCTAGATGCGTGTACTTCATAGTTGCAATCCTCGATTGAGCTCTCGTGCAGTTTGATAACCGCAAGTTTTCGCATGCCGTTCAGCGATCACCACAAAGTAACAATAATACGTTGGCATTGGAATAAGGACGTAGAGACGCATTTATTTTATAATAATGAATTAGTAAAGACGGTGCATAATTGAGGAAGTGTATCAATAATGTGAGAAGCTGAAAGTGGTGGCCAAAAATTAGTAATACTAAAAATTGTAGCGTTTTCAAGTTACCTTAGTAAACCTAATTTTCTTGCACTTTTGTCCTCTGATATTGCAAAATCGTAAGGTAAATTTTCAAATGACAAATTTTGGAGGATATAGCAAAATACCCCCTTTGGGTTAAAAATAACGTCGGTGCAGTCATTAAGTAGAAAAAAAGAGATTAAGCTGCTGTCCACCGCAATCGTTGCAGTGCCTGGCGCTCTTTTTCAAGGCTTTGGTGCCTCAACTCCGCACAGAGCAGTTCAAAGTCACTAACTTGCTCCAAATCAACTGTTTTTGCCCAGACACACGTGAATCCAGGCAGTCACTGCCATCCATGCGGGACCTCCTCATTCTGATGCCTTTTCTCTCTTCTTGTTAATTGAGGCTTTGCTTGAAAATTGTGACCCTCACTGCGTAGACATTACAAACCTTAACGGGCAGAATACGTCGAACGTGTTATCTTACCTTGGCCAAACTCCTCTGCAGGAAGGAAAAAGGCCAATACAAAGGATTCTTCTAAATTGGAAAAATAGCATATTCCCTGATAAGACAATAAACAGTGATGCAGGTACTAAATTTCTCTAGGTTGAAAGTTAGTATTTAAATATGAGGAAAAGGTCGAAGTAAATATCGGCGTCTGGGGATGTTTCTGAAGCAAATTCTTGCATATAACTTGCAAACAACTTGCATATATAAAAAGACACGACGTCAGATCGTCGGAAGTAATCTTATTGAGAATGATATTAATAATCGATCTCCGGAATTCGACTTTGTTAGGGCCACACGGAGCGGCTTCCTAGAAATCTGCTAAACGGTCGTTGTTCAACTGTCGTACTCAGCCATAATCCAAGATTTTTGGGAAGATGGAGGTTTAAAATTCTTTTTGTACTTTTTGCCAGATTACGCGTGGACGGTCGCCGAGTTATCGTACGACATCTGTGTGACGTGAAAAAATACTAATGCATTTAAAGGTCAGTTGGCGAACATATGTTTTCAATAACTCAGGCCAGTACATTTACATGGGTAATGATCGTCCGATTGAAGACAAGATATAAAAGCAGCCTGCCTTCCCTGGCCGAGTCCAGGGGTGATCGCCCGCAGTCCTGACGCCCTGAGGGCAGTCACACGCACTTACAATCTGGCCGTAACCCCTCTCCTTCCTCCCTCTCCCACTTCAAAACCAGCCTCCTCAACACGCTGACTCCGTCATGCGGGAGGCGTGAGAACACGGAGTCTAACTAACCCTGTCCCTGAGACGCATTTATATCCTGTCTTCAAGTAAAAAGACCATTGCCCACGTAAATGTACTGGCCTGATGATGAGTTACTGAAAACATATGTTTGCCAACTGACCTTTCAATCGTAATATGGGAATTTTCGCAGAACCAATGAATTTCTTAGAAAATCGGAAGATTTCATGTTTATTGGGGAGGACAGCATGTCCCACATTCCCCGGCTGAGACTGCTGAGACAAAATAGTGGCGAGGTGCAGCAGGATAATGGTACAGGAGCGCCCTCCTACTTCGTTACGGAACTGACTAGTTCCGCTGTGTCTTATGGTTCTCTCAAGTCGAACCAGCAGTCGCACAGCGGCGCGTAATACAGGTGGAGTAATCTTCTCAGCAAAGACAAGAGACGCTGGAATGGCCACTCCTAGCTTGATGTCCGTCGTCAAGATAAGTCCGTGATTCTCACCTCCCTCCTAAAGATATTAGGGACGAGTTTTTGAATTTCGGGCAAACACAAGTTTACCTGTATATATATTCCAGTTTATTTCAGTTTATTTGGTAAGTATAATAGGCAAAGCCTTTGAAAACCCTATTGATTACATGTCAGCTCGTCAGAAATTTAGAGAAGGGGACGCTCTTTTCTCAATATTTCAACATTCGGAAGATAAAGTCATATACAGACTCTGACAAATACGGCCTTCAAGACAAGTCTCGAATAGAAAGAATATTAGCCGGATGCCACTGGAGAGAGCACTGTATTTTGTAAAAAACGAATGGAAAATAGGTAAAAGCACGTTGAGAGCCAGACAAGAATCGCACGTCGGACGCTGCCTGTGCAGGCGTCTGAGCGTCACTGGGGTAGGCTTCAGAGAGCCTTGAACGAGCACACGTCTTTGTCAGTCCTGGAGTTGGCCGGTCAGTTTTTAGAGCTGGGATTGATCAAGGCTCAGACTGTCGCCGCAACGTGTGGGCAAGTGCGATCAAAAGTTATAGTGTTGACGCAGGCGCGGGGACTGGGGCCACTAGAGGTTACCACTTCCTGACTGCTTAATGGTGACTTATGTGTTAATTTGTTCAAAGTTGAGAAGAAAGGAATAACAGTACCTCCACAGGGGCTAAATAAAACCACTTACTCGTTCATTTAAATGACTAGCGTCAATCTCATTATTAACATGGGCAGTTAACGGGTTTTATCAGCAATGCCAAGTTAATAAAACGACTGATTATTTATAAACAATATCAGTTAAGGTCAAGTGGCTAATTTATGCATGAAACACGCCATTTCCCAACTGCTACTCTCACAAGGAAGCCTTTTGATTAATCCATTGCCCGGCATTCTTCTAAACCTGTGTTTGCGTACAACATTGGATTCATGCGCGGAATCTGAGCTGTATCAACCGTATCTCCTGCGTCCCCTCCACTTCAGTGGTAGATCCGGATCGAATCAATTGAAAAGGATGTCGGACGCTGTGGCGGGTATGACGTGAAGCCTTCTTCGCTGAGGAATGTTCTCTCTCTTTCAGCATACCCCAAGCACAGGTCTGACACTGGACCAAGCGATGCCCATATTCACATGCGCTGTTTCGTCCGCCGATAAGATGCTGACAAAGTCGCATTACGCGTCTTTTTATAAGGAATTTGAGCTATTCTGTTTACCGCTAACGAGTGTACGCGCACTATCGAATAGGGCAATGGGTTGTCTCAGTGCATACAACTGTAGAGGTTAAACGGTCGTTTAAGCTGTCAATTCATGACCATGCATAGGCTAGGACCGGTCAGGCTGTGCCGGATATAGTAATCGATGTTAGAAGGAAAGCAGGTGGAAGGAAATGCCGTTAATGACCATTATGTTGCCTTCTGATACAGTAAGCAGGCTTATCACGTTGGTATTGCCGTAAAACAGGTGTCTGCAGTGGAGGGTCCATACCCCGGCGCTGACAAGTTGGCAGGATCTAAGCGTAGAGGGAGTTGACTGACATAGTACCGTTTTCAAGATTGACGGTTTGCCCTTACTTTGTGTACCTTATTGTATTCTACGATGCTTCGTTCAGTTCTTACTTAAATGCACCAACACTTTGGATCGCACACAGGGACTTCGGTTTCATGTATGATCTCCTGATGATTTAACGGGATCTTTAATAAGTCTCTCTGTCGGAGGTTTCGTCAACATCTCCCACCGACGTCCTTAATAACGTCACAGTTTAGTCCGCATCAACATGACGTAGATCATCGGCAGGCATGTCGAAAGTCGAGTAGTCGACAAGATAAAGATTCCCAATCAAAAGTCAGGGAAGACGGTTTGAGTTGGACAACCTTTACTGCCTGAGAAAGTGCGTACACAAGGGCTCTGTAGGCAGTCACCGCGAGCACGCTCCGAGCAAGCTGTTGTCTGTGTCCGCCCTCGAGGTGTTCTGTTAGCGCGTGTGTGCGTCCTTCGTTGTCTCCACGTCGCCAGCCAATCAGAGTGGGGACAGCGTTGATTGGCTTCGAGCACTCGCGCGTCCCAGCAGCGTCTCGACACGGAGTGTGAGGCGGACAGGACGGCAGCGTGACGAAGGCGGAGGGTGAGGCGACGCGAACCGCCCTAGGCACACCCCTTCACTTCTAATTTCTAAATTGGAGTAGCTACCAAAAAGCAAAGAAGGAACGCTGGGGGACCCACCGATGAGCCGAACCCTTCGCAGTTGTGTCATGCAGCGGCAGAATATCGGCAAAACACGCGAGTATCGGCTTTTGGGTAGTACCTGTGTTGTTCATATGGTAATTGTCATCCTGAGGTTACTGAATTATTGTAGAATCATTTCGCACGGTGGTTAATTTTACAACCCTATTTAAGTAATCTTTCCGAGTATAAGAGACATTTCAGAATTTCGGTCAACATTTCGTGAGTTAGCACACCTACTGTACGTGAATTGTTAACTTGCATGGACAGCTAGTTTGTTATCTATCACCCACCCTTAGAATTCATTAGCATATGGCTTTTGCCCGAACCACGCCTGCAAACATGACAGCGATTGTTTGAGACAAGAGAGCATCGTGAGTAAAAAAGTTTACTTGGCATAAGAGAAGGGCGAGGTGCGAGTTCCTCCAAGTCTGGAAATGTCAGATGAAAAGTTCGGCCTAAAATGTGAAAGCGCGGAAAGAGCGGTGAGCGACTGAGACATGCTCAGCAAGAAGGTAGGAGGAGGAAGGGTTAGACTGCCCATAATTAAATATCGCCATAATTATGAGGCTTGAATTATGTGCGAGAACTGAACCAAAAGCTCCCTAGTTGCGACGCAATACTGAACGACAGAGACATACTCGGCAAGATAGTAGTTAACGCCATAAGTTTGGGACAAGAATTATGTGGGCGAAAAGCCGCTCATCTGCGACAAAATATTAGATAGCAACATCGCCTTCGAAATAGTGAAATGAGGGAAAGCACTGTGCAATTCCAACCCCAACCCTCAACATGCCACATGTACGGCTCGCGCGGACTTTGCATAGTCCGATCCAAACAAGCCGAGGTCCAGCCAGACCTCCGTTTCGATACAACAACAATGAACGCACGCATACGTACGGATTGTAAACTTATACGGGTAGCTTACTGGTTACATATTACACACTATTATAACTTGTAAGCGTATACGGTAGGTGGGCTAACTCATGAAATGTCCAACGAAATTTCGATATGCGCTTTCGTTTCGAAAAGATTAATTAGATAGGGTTGTAAAAGGATTCATCTTGCAGCGTAATTCTATAATAATTCAGTTACTTCAGGGTGCCAGCTTTCGAACGAAATTCTTTCCGGCCTCATGCAGAAACCACAATTTGCAATAAATGACTACTGAAGTAGCTTGCATTTTCCCCATTGTTTTTCGATGCCCTTAGAAACTCAATTATATCTCATAGAAGTCATGCATAAAAATATTCATTCTTCTACTCATTCCGTAGAAAATCATGTCTTCTTCAAATTTTATATTTGAAGAAGGGGCATAATTCGGTTTTTGAAGTGTCTAATTGGGAGATTCTTTAATACCGTGAAATGGCCGTCCATAAAACGCCATGTCTCTGCATTTACCAATGCGGCTTGTAAGGTTAATGATATGGCTCAAATCTACCGCTAAATTTTATGAATGCCAAATGGTCTCCTCTTAATACCGTAGAGAAATGTATGGTCTTCCGTACGCAGAAAATATAAGGCTTGTAGTTTGGAAACCCTGAATACCAGTGTGACGACAGGAAAAACTCAAAGTTATTCAGGAATTGAAAAAGTTTTTGAAAACCGAATTAGATCCTTCCTTCGAGTATAAAATTAGAGGAAGACACAATTTCCTACCAAATGAGCAAAAGACTTAACATTTTTATGCATGATTTCCATGAAATACAGTTGAATTTCTAAGGACAGCGAAAATTAATGAGAAAAACGCATGCTATTTATGTAGTAATGTTTTGCAGAGTGTAGTTTTTTGCATGCAGCCGGAAAGAAGTTCGTTCGAAAGCCGGCATCCTGAGGCAACTGAATTATTATAGCATTATGCTGCACGAAGATTAGTTTCACAACCCTACTTAAATAATCTTTTTCGAAACGAAGACGAATTTCGGCATTCCGATTGGAATTTTATGAGTTAGCCCACCTACTGTAGCTTTTGCCTGAACCCTGTATGTGAACAATACGGGGGCATTTTTGAACAAGAGGACATAGTGAGTAAAAATGTGTATTTGAGAGAAAATCTGGAAATGCATAAGAGAAAGGCGGTGTACAAGTTCTTCCCAGCCCGAATTTAGGGCTTCAAATGAAAATTTCCGCCTAAAATGTGAAAAGGCGAGAGGACAGATGATCAGGTGAGACATACTTGGCAATATAGTAATTAACGTCATAATTTTGGGACTCAATTTAAGTGGGCAAAAAGTCACTCATCTGCGATAAAATAGTAGATAGCGACATTGCCTTCAAAGATCTCGCCAATTTCAACAATGGACAATGAATAAAATCGACAGAAATAAACTTGGTGCGGACCACGTGTCACCATGTTGACACGTGATCGGAAATGTACAATGGTTGAGAGGCGCTCGTAAGGCACAACGGGACGAGTGAGTTCCGTACGAACGATCGGTGAGCGCCCCTCAACAATTGTACATTCCCGATCGGAACCGACAGGACAACGAGCCCGTGGCCCACTGGTTAGAGGCGTGGACTTCTAACTAACAGGTCGCGAGTTCGAGCCTCGGGTGCTCTACACTTCTGGGTTGGATATGACTGGCTGACGACGGCTAATAAGCCAGAAATGGCCATTCCAGTCTCCCTTGTCTTTGTCGGTAATATAATTCCGCCTACATCAAGTGCCGCTGTGCGGCTGCTGGTTGGGCTCGAGAGAAAGCCCGTTAAGCACAACGGAACGAGTGAGTTCCCAAAGCCAACGAGAGACATTTCTAAAGATAATTAATGGGGGAAAATTCCGGATGGCGTAACACTGCCGCATGGTTGTGGTGCATAAGTACTTGTTATAAGAAACTAGACAGACCAATTAGTGCGTACGTACTAGCAGTCACGATAGGCTCAGCCTTGCAACATGCGCCTACAGTTGGGCCAGTACAGGGCACCTCCGACCCTAAGGAAATCAGTCTGATGCCGAGAAGGGATTGATCTCAGCTATCCGCCCCTTGGGGACCGTGAATAATGGCCACATAGGCAACAGGGAAACCAGAAAATAAGTCATCGGTTGCTAGCACGTACTACCGGCTGTCTGCCCAAATGTTTCGCATCTGGACCGATGAGAAACATGTTTAAAGATTCCACTGAAGAGAAATTTTGAATACTATAACGCAACTGCATGGTTGTGGTGCATAAGTACTTGCAAGTAAGAGACTAAACAACGATAACTTTTGCGCAGGGCGCGGCACACTTTCCTGTTAAGACGTCGAAGCACTGATGGGCATGGGCTAGACCACTTTTTTGAAAACGAGGAGCCCAAATCAAAATCAAGAGTGTGAAGAGGGGCTTCTTTGACCCAAAAGAAATCAGTCTGGCGTTGGATCTTATTTAGTAGCCGTACCTGCAGTAGACAAGCCCCAGCCTAGCCCCTAACCCCTAAGCCTAACCCCAACCCCTAACCGTAACACCTAGCAGGTAAGGCTACGAAATAAGACCTTGTCCAGTCTGGTGCCGAGAAGGGATTGATTTCTGCGCATGACCACCTAAACTATCCGCCTTTGGAGGCCGTCAGTGATAGCGACAGGAAGTTATAGGTCGCTAAAACATACAGTAGGTGGGCTAACTCATGAAATGTCAACCGAAATTCCTAAATGTGTTTCATTTCGAAAAAAGATTAAGTAAATAGTGTCGTAAAACAAATCATCTTGCAGGATAATTCTATAATAATTCAGTAACCTCGAGATGCTTGCTTTCGAACCAACATCTTTCCGGGCCGCATGTAAAAATCACACCCTGAAAAAAAGACTACTTAAGTAGCATGCATTTTTCTCATGGATTTTCGGCGCCCTTAAAAATTATTTTATATTTCATAGAAAACATGCACAAAATACTCATTCTTCTGCTCATTCGGTGGAAAATGGTGCCTTCTTTCAAATTTGTACTCGAAGGAAGGGTATCATTCGGTTTTTAAAAAGTTTCTAATTGTGAGTTTTTTTTAATACCATGAAATGGCCGTTTATAAAACGCCATCTCTCTGAATTTAATAATGTGGCTTATAAACTTAACAATATGGATCAAATCCACTGATAAATTTCATGAACCCCATATAGTCCCCCTTTATCACCGTAGAGATATGTGTGGTTTTCCTTACGCGGAAAATGTACGGCTTGTAGTTTGGAAACCCGGAATCAAAGTGTAACGGTTGAGCGGGTTCAAAATTATTCGGGAATTGGAAAAGTCTTTGAAAACCGAATTATGTCCCTCCTTCGAGTATAAAATTGGAAGAAGACGTAATTGTCTACCGAATGAGCGAAAGAATGAATATTTCGATGCATGTTTTCAATGAAATATAATTGGACTTTTAAGGGCATCGAAAATCAGTGAGAAAAGTGCATGCTGTTTAAGTAGTCATTCTTTGCAGAGTATAGTTTTTGCATGCAGCCGATAAGAAGTTCTTTCGAAAGCCGGCATCCTGAGGTAACTGAATTGTTATGGACTAATGCTGCGTGATGGTCAGTTCTAAAACCCTACTTAATTAATCTTTTCGAAACGAGAACGCATTTTGGAATTTCGGTTGACATTTCATGAGTTAGCCCACCTACGGTACTACTGACTCTCTGTTCAAATGCTCCAACTCTGAACATTTCTAAGAACAACCATTGGGAAGAACTTCTGAGTAGTATAATACGACCGCATGGTTGTGGTACACAATAGTAAGAAATGGACCAGATAGCCCAACAGACAGGTCAGGGCGCCGCACACTTACCTCCTCGTAGACAAAGTTGCGATAAATTCGACACAGCGGGCCACACATATTGGAATGACAGCGACGACAGGGCAGGAAACAGCCTTTGCAGTCCGGACGCAGGCAATCGCAGCGGTTCGTCAAATCGGGCAGGATGCGACCGCGTGAGTCGAAAAGTCCGGGGTCGGAGCTGCGCGTGAGATGTGGGCAACAAAACATGAATGAGGCGTGAGTTCAGAGAAGACCACCAAGGGGTGTTAAGTAATCAGGCTTAAAAAGCGATGCGATTTGGCGATGGGACGCGAGGGGCGGGCTGATGAGCCCCTCAGAACAAAACGAACTCCTCAACGGAGCATTCCCGTACGCGGACCAGAGTGGCAGGACGATCTCAACGGTCACGACTGGCACACCGGAATGGACCAAATGGGCGACCAACCTCCGACCATGCATAAAAATATCGCACACGGGCTAGTGGCGGACCCATGCCCAAAGCCAGAAGTCTCGTCGGAGTAGAGCGATACCCACCCCTCTTCCCTCCCCGCCACTCTCGCTTGTCATCAGAGTGTACACTTAATAGTGTTTTAATGTCAACCAGGTATGTAATGGCAAGACTGATGGGTACATCACCAATTACAGGGTTATAGCTGGCCTTGACAACGCGTACCCCCCTCTCTCACAAGGCCAATTATCCACCCAAGTTGGCTATGTTAGATCCGTCATGCCGACAAGGACGGTAATGCCATTCTGTCTATACATTAAGAATGTGTCCGAACTAGTTGAAAGACACCTGAGGAAGCACCAGATACATGTGGCGCACAAGCCGACGACTACACTTCGTAACCAGCTTGTACACCCTAAAGATAGGGTTGGCTATTTAGGTAAGAAGGAAGTCGTCTATAAGATACCATGCAACACCTGTAATGCGGTTTACTGTGGTCAAACCGGGAAATCGGCCTCTACACGAATACACGAACATCAGTTGGCCGTAAAAAGGCGAGACTACTTGTCCCAAGTTGCCATGCATACGTTGGACACTGGGCACAAGTTCGCCTGGGACAGGACCCGCATTGTAGGTGTCTGCTCATCTAAAAAGGGCCGTGAATTCTTAGAGGCCATCCATTCTGATAACGCATGCATCAATCGGCACGTAGAATTGGATACGGTGTACAACAGCCTCAAGGGAAAGTGGAAAAGGCATTGGCCAATCAGAACAATACACCAGCAGGAATGACAAGGCAAAATCGACTTTTTCGGCAAGTTTAAATGTTGAATGTTTTGCACACTTATTTCTTTCGAATATATATATATATATATATATATATATATATATATATATATATATATACATATATATATATAGGAGGGAATAGGAATAAGGATAGGAGAGAATAAAATGATAAATTCTTCTTCGTTTTCCGCTGGATTAAGACTACTCAAACAATTAATTCATCTGTCATAGTCAAAGGTTTTGGGAAAAGAATCCGCCGTGCTTGTAATTTGTCCATCCACTGAGCAAGTAAGAGGCGGCACTACACATTCCTCTGCGAAACTGCTCACAGGATAAGGGTGGCATACGGGTCTTCTTAACGATGCTAACGACATCAATTGATCGCATGTAGGCCCACATGAACCCGCAGGAAAGCATGCCGTAGGTTGTAAACAAAGTTAGTCAGAGCTACGTTCCGTATTGTTATAGTTAGTGATAGTGTACAGTTTGGACATGCGTAGGCAGGAGGCCACTGCATCCCCCTTTAAGGCGGCGGACGCTGTTTCATCAGACCTAAACAAAGACTGAACCCGTATGTGGAACGTGAAAGTGAGAGAGAAAAGGCGTTCTGTGTCACTGCGTCCCATCATATCTCCAGAGGCCGGACATTACCCTGAAGCACTCTTCGGCTTCGAACTGACGGCAAAACTTGTCCGCATGGCCTGGGGCAAGTTCCTGATGGCACCCTTATGGCACTCCTTAATGGTGCGATATCCCGGTGTTTGAAGTCATGTGTTGAGGTGCCAGAATGTGTGTGGTTCGCGTAGTCGCACGAATAGCCCACCAGCCACCTCGTTCACACCAACATCCTTTCGTCTTCATCTTCTGTCGCTGAAACACGAAGTGTGTGGGGAGAGGGTGAGAAAGTATGCAAATTCCCCCCAATCTAACCTAAGCTATGCGGCAATTTGTCGCTGCCTTACCAAACATTTGTGGTCCTATCCCAGACAAGAAACATCTGGAGTCGTTTACCGGATCTGGTGCAGTTGCGGACAAAGCAACTACGTCGGAGAAACTGGAAGACTGCTCCGGACGCGAATCGCCGAACACGTGGCAGCTGTACGGCGAAATGACGCCAACTCTCAGGTCGCGGCCCATTCGACGAGACCCGGCCACACATTCTAGTTCGACGAGGCCGCAATTCTCGCGAGAGGGGATAATCGCGTGAGCCGCGAGTTGCTTGAGTCATGGTTCACGGGACCTCAGTCTATCAACAAGTGCAACGACATCCCCACTCCATATTCTGTCCTGAGGCATGTGCTGGCCAAAGCAATTGACCACTCGAGGAGCGCGCAAGCACGTGAGCCAGATGGCCGAGCAATCATCACGCCAGCATCCAACACGGGTGATGAGATGTCAGCAATTAACAACTTGCATGCCGGCCATCAAGCAATTAGCGCACCAGCGGGCAACAATCCTTGATGAAGTGAGCACGGTTAATTGCTGTAGGTATGCGGTAGCATGGCGACCGCATCCTATAAATACTGCGACTTCCTGCGCACGAGTTACCCTTTTCTGCCACTTTCTCTGATGATGGATTCAAGAGAGAATCCGAAACGTCAGGCGAATAAAGCCATTGTTCCAGCGATCGCTTCTTCTTCTGATGAACGACAGATTAACTATTTTATTGCGAGCGGTTAAATAACCAGTGCCGGCACATCGTCTCAACACCAAGCCTCATTCTTTCACGGATAGGTAATAGATCACAAAAAAACATTAAATGAGCGAAAAATCCTACGCAGCAAATGAAACGCACAGGCACGATTTCGAAATGGTCGTTGTGCTAGGAAGACTTTAAAGAACAGAACTCCGGAAAATAATCAAAAAGTTCTCGGAATCGGTGGCACTGAACACACTTCTGCGTGCAACGCATTAGCAGACAGGTATTCGACTCTCCTGAAGCCTCTACCCCCAAAACAGCGGTCAACCTGCAGAGTTACGTTTACAAACCTATTGCGCTCGCAGAGTTGCGAGTGCAGTGTCAACTGGCGCCTGAAACCCCTGGTGAGGTTGCCGTCTGACCAGTCAATTTCAAGGTCACGCATCTGTTTGCCGGGATTGCTGAATTTCAGACGATCCAATTCCCTGTTGTCCGACAGTGCTGACGCTGGAGAGAAGACGGTCGGGCTGCCACCGTTGATGAAGGCCCGTGACTCCAGGGAGAGCGATGAGGCCGTTCGTTGCGCGGAGGAGTTGGTGGACTTCCGGCTGACCTGTAATCGTCGTCTGCCAGTAGCGGGAGTGGTGTTAGCGGCGGCGTTTGATGACTGAGCTAGCTGTGAGTCCGCGGCGGAGGTTATGGAAACATGGCTGTCGAGACTGGTGTTGGAAGAGGAAGTCCTCAAATGGTCCTCTCCAGTCGCCAGCTTCTCCTTGGTCAGCTGCGCGAGTAACGCCCCGGTAGCCGGCCGATTCTGTAGCGGGACAGGAAGGATGCATGGGTAAATGGAGCCTGGCCGTTTAATTAGTTCCAGACCCTCAAGTCCGAAAACCTCCGGTCATGAGGGTGTACTATCGATCCTCCGATCGGCTGCCAGGTTGTCTAGACAGAATGATTGAGACCGCAAAGAAACCTAAGGCACATGCTGCACTTCAGATCATCACCTACTGTAACTCTGATTCTTGGCTAAAATGAGCGTATCTCCACGCAGATTACTTCCTGGTCGAAAAACGGGACCAACACCGGCCGTCCACCAGTCGGATACTACCCACACGCCTACCATCTACGCCCTCCACCCCTCGCCCAAACAGTAAACACAATCTGATGGCAAGAGCCACTGCGAACAATTCTCAGCCCCGCACAAATAGGTACCACATGGGTCCGTTTCTTCATGTGCCGCAATCACGTAAACACCACCCACCCACTCACATAACCGCTCTGCGACGGAATTCGTCGACGTCGGCAATGACAAACGAAACAACGCGTGTGCTTGCGTTTGTGATCAAGGAATACGCAGCCAGGGCGGGAGTTCTCAAGACGCCTAGGTTTGATCGGACTCGTGAGTAATCACGAGTACCTCTCAGGTCCATCGTGAATTATCACACTATCCCAGAAAATTTTAGCATCCCGGCGTTCTACTCTGTCATGCGCGCATACAGAAAAACAATAACGCATCACACAGCAACAGTCGTGTGACCAAGTTCGCCCGCGTCGGTGCTGGCGAGCAAAACATCATAAAGTTGGCGAGTGGCAATCGTTGGACGGAGGCTTCGAGTTAGGCCAGTCACTGGGTCCAGCCGGTCGGCATGAAATGGGGATCGAAATAACGCAAATCCAGCGTGCTCAAGGACTATCGCGACGAGTTGACCATTGTGGCTTGCAAGGTTGCCAACTGACAGGTTAATTTAGTGGGCTTTTAAAGTGGGAATCTGAAGACAATGACTGCTTCATATGGTCACACATCTGTTAGAGAAGGGTCTGGTTCGCGTGTGTGTGTGTAACGAGGCGTGAATTCAGCCTCGTTTGCCATCTCCGGACGCGCTGTCCTTATCTTTCCGTTGGAACGGAGTGCACGTGAAGACAGAGGAGTGAGGTAGATGCGTCGAAAGTCGCCCCGACTACAAACTTAATTCACTGAATCCTCGGAGGAGCGGTGGTCCTCCTAACTTCTGTCAAACTACTAGGGCTGTGCAGAAAGTCCTCTCTCAAAAGTCTGACTTGGGAACGCAGATGAGAAAACAGTTTCTGTTGGATAAGGAAATTCCAGGACCAATTCCTTTGGGCGTCATTGTGGGGGATAAAAAGGTCACCGGAGCAGAGGAGAATTTAGATCAGGCTCGGTACGCGAAAAAGTCAGCCATCTTGATGAAAGTTTAATTGGCACGCGCGTTGTGGTCATCCACGTCTGTTTCAGTAATTGGAGGTAGGGCTATACAGTATGCTTATATTCTTTACAGCTGTAAATTTGAGAGGGGTCGTCCTCCTTCGAGTCACTCAGATACAAGTGGGATATGTGCCTCAAAGTCTGGTGATTATGCGTGGCACCAAAACATGACTGGCCGGGCAAGGCAAAACTTGTTTGTCTGTCCAGACTTAGGTCTGGCATTGAAACAAAGCTGTGAAGACCTTCCTTTCGCTTCATGGGGAGTCGTGAGTCTACGGCCATTGCAATTAGTAAGTGTTGCTTAAAAGTGCTTGCCAACGCTGACAGAGGGCACCGCAATGGTCGTTTCTGGCTCCTCGTGCATCGCCAGCCAGGCATGGTCAACCGTTAGCTCGCGGAGCGACTTGAGCCAAAGATTCACATACTCAAGTTAAGGGCCGTTGTCTTGACGGTCAAGACTGAAAACATTCAAACTGACTAGACTTACAATCTTCAAAGCCGGCACGAAGATGAGTAATGACTGGCTACTGTGGCAAATAAACCATAGATGAACAGAAGCGTTTTTGAAATTAATGGATGACAGTAAAAATCCCAGATCCAAGTTTAAGAGACAAGCATTTTTGGAAAATTTTGCCACTTCAGACGATTCAAATGCATAGAAACTGTCTCCGAAAGCGACAAATTAATCAAAGGAGACAAAGAAATCCTCTCTTAATAGCATTATCACGCAAGAGCAGCGTAGTCGCAGCAATTAAAGAAATATAGCTAGACAGAACTTACATTTGGCTCGCCATGACCCTCATCGAGGTCCATCGGAACAAGCCCTCCCGGGGGCGCTTGCAAAGATTCGTCAGTTTCAACAATCTGCACAAAAGTTATTAAAAACCTCGATCAGCAAGTTCTGGGAGTCAGTCGTCAAAGGAGAGAAAGAAAAGATACCGCAAGTCAAAAATCCTTGGTTGAGCAACCGAATACGAAAAGGGATGACAAAATATAGAAGTCTCCTTCGCCAGTAAACTCCCCCCCCCCGCCCCGAGATTCACACATTCCCCTAAAGTTTTTTCGTCATAAATCTAGCCAACATAAGTAGTGGTGCATTGAGAGCAGGGAATAGTACTCGGCACACGTAAGTGGGCTGACGACAATCTGAGAGCAACGTCATCAGCCCCACTTGTCTCGCTGTGACAGACACTCCAGCAAACAGTGGCGCATAAATTAGCAGTGGGTTCACCACTGGAAGCTGAAGAAATTGCACTACTGCGGTTCTGTCTTCCACAAAGCAGGAGTGCTGCTTTCTCTTATCTCAAATATTCACATTTCTATTAAACACAGAAAAAAACCGTGCATATGAGAATTCTGCAAAGCCCCTTGTAACTGTGGTCCAAATTCTAAACTAGTTCTGTTGCTTTATTCAAATACAAGGTTAATTAGTAATAAATTTCAGAAGACGTCACTGTGAGGTGTAAAAACATGCTGCACAGCAAACCCAGTCATGTTTACCAACTAGGCGTACATCTATAAAAAAAAAAACTAACGATCCGGTTACAGCCGGTGGCCGTAAACATCCCCCGGTCTCACTGATAGAAGCTGATCGCACACCTTGCATGGAAAGAGGTTGGATGGATTCCTCCCCGGCTTAGAGAGAGCGACAAGAATGCGCTAAATGTCCTCCCAGACGCCAGGAGTATAGTGAAGATATATTACTGATGAACATGGAGGGCGGTGACTTAGGCGCCATCTCGGACTTCGCCGCCATCATCAGACAGCCATGCATCGTTCTTTCATTCGTCCTTCGTGCAAGCTATAATCTTCCCTTGTACCGCATTGGTAGTCTATCCAGTTGGTGGTCAATCGAATGAACCGCGGTAATAAGCTTGCTAAATTGAAGAAGGCTGGTCGAGCGCCGGTCGAGTTTTCGGATTCGTGCAGAAGCCCAACGTCGGAGGCAGCAGCAACAACGGAGCAAGCAGCGTGCGTGCCAATCATCGATCGATGGCGCAAGGCTGAAGATGACTGTGCAGGGTTCTGCACGCCGGCGCCAGATCGATAAATCGACCGACTGAGTTCCCATCCGAGATCCAGGCTTCAACCAGTTCTCGTCCTGTTTTGTTTCCGATGTGGCCATGACCTCTATGACGGAAGAACTGTGCCCAATCTAGAGACCGTGCGAAATGCCGGTTTAGATTTGCGTCCACTGGGATATGTCCTGGCTACTCGTCACTAAAGCAAATACTCGTGAACAGTTTTTTGCGGTCTGAAGAAGTCGGGAAGTGTGAATATGCACGACTTAGACGACTTTTAAGAAGACTGGTCCGGGCGGCTGAAAATATCGCTTACTAAAAGCTAGAAAGCCAGAGGGTAGGGGTGGATGCAAAACCCTGTTCGGAATTTTAATTCGGAAACTATGCTCACCGAGGGATAGGTCTACCTATAACGCAATGAGTGGTGGATTAGAAAGGTTATGGGCACAAAAACTAGCGCGCACCGGCCGCATCCTCCCCAACCTCTACAGTGTCCCAGGAGAGAATTAAATACAGACGATTTGTGAGCCTGGAAGTGGTGGACCGCCCGCATCAAACCTTGACTGAAGCGTGTTACACGCGCCCGGCCGTTCAACACACAGGCATGAATCCGACCCCACACATGCAGATGCACCGGTGAGAATTGCCACACGAGCTACGTCGGCGAGAAGCAGGAGGAGGGGAGGATAAGGAGGGGAGGATAAGGAGGAGGAGGAGGTGG